TCAATCGTTCACTGAAAAACCTGTTTTTGAGTGTGCTTTTGCTCAATCCTATGATATTATTTTTATCATATTTGGTTAAAAACAGTATGGATCATGTCCCTGTGATATGCAAATTAGCTATGAAATGGTATCTAATGCACATATGCACCAGCTGACTGTGTCCCTTTAAGGAAAATGGTATAGCTGACTAGCATAACATCTGGTCTTAGTCAATTCATGTAGCCAAAACCAGGGTATACTCTCACTGGCAGTGTGGGTTAGTCTTGCCTGAGTAAAATGCTTCGTATATGTATAGCATGAAGACTCTATTGATTTTCTTGCATTGTGCTTTTAGGTTATTGACCAGTATCAGATGACTTCAGATATGTGGGAAGAGAGGATCACCTCTTGGTATGCTGAACACAAAGGAATGAGAAGGTATTAATACCGATTCATGGTCCTTCATCTAATCACTTGAATCCAACAAATCCTCAGTTCTACTGTATACTCTGAAATAAGACGATGATGTATTCAGGGCTTCTGATAGGTCATGCAGAAAAAGTCAAATTTTGTGGGATTTTCAGAGACAAATTTGTGGAAAAACGGCTGATTTTGTGGATGATTTGCAGGCATTTTCGGGCAAATTTTGCTGAAAAACAATTGGTAAAAAATGGCTGATTTTGTAGAAATTTTCTGAACAAATTTTGCTGGAAAGTGATCGGTTTTTCCATTGATTTGATGAACATTGATTTTGCCATCTTTTTCAGAAAATGATGAGCATTAGCCTATGTAATAGCAACAGTGACAGAAACACTGACTACTTATAAGTGTTGCCTTTGTAAAACCGGTGATTTTGCAGGACTATCATACGCGTTTGTATTTGTTTGACCACAAGGTTCACTTACAAGTGTATTAAATTGTATTCACAGAGATGAAGCAGAGATGGAATACTTAAAAATAGCACAAGATCTGGAGATGTATGGCGTGAGCTACTTTGCAATCAAGGTACAATGTTAAAAATTGAACTGCTTCAATATTCGGTGGGGTTCAGAAATAATTAACATAACATACATTGTAATATTTAGTTTCATGACTGACAAACTGGTGGCCCTCAGATTCCCATTTGAAAAGGAATTTTGGGCTGTTGTTGTCTGTGGTGGGATGAAAGCCAATGAACTCAAAGAAAAGCCCTTTTAGCAAGGAGAGTAACTAGTAACAAACTAAAACCACATATGAAGCCAGGTCCAAGATTTGAACCTGGGCCTCTTGGGTGGTGATCTTACCACTGTGCAGACTTACTGCAACTTCAGGTGTCACAGATTAATTACTACCTTGCCAAAACTCCTGGACATGAACTCACATTGCTTGATACATGAATTTATATTGTTTCTGACTTTCTATTTTTTTTTTCACAGAACAGAAGGGGAACTGAGTTATGGCTTGGCATTGATGCTCATGGCCTTAACATTTATGAGAAAGACAACAAACTGAATCCAAAAATCTCTTTTCCTTGGAATGAGACAAAGAATATTTCTTTTCATGACAAAAGGGTAAGTGTCAATCTTAAACTCTTTTACATGTAAATGACTACAGAAACAAAAATGTTATAATTATAACAATTATTAAGAGCACTTCTTTAGACATTGGACAATTTTATATGTGTAAATTTGATGTTTATTAGCTGATTTATTATTCAAATAAGCCCCATCCCTCTCTGTTAATGAGCACCCCTTCTCCTCAGAGGATGCTAAGTAGAGCTTCATAACAAAGATTTAAAAAAATGAACTTGTATTTCTGACTGTACAAATGGCACCTTGGAGATTACTGTGTCTGGCTTTGATACAGGTTATATAATGATTTTATTTAATAACTATTTAGTTTCAGATCAAGCCAGCGGTCAAGTCATCTCCAGATTTTATATTCCATGCAGCGAAACTGCGAGTCAACAAAGTGGTACGTATATGTACTTGTATACATGTTGGTGCAATGCAGGAGGTGTTCGCACCCTTAGTGTTTGTACCTTAAACTGGTTTACTTCAGTTACCTAGTGTGACTGTAACACTTCATCTTATCAAATTCTCCTGACTACAGATTCTTGATTTGTGTGTTGGCAACCATGAACTTTTCACGCGAAGGAGAAAACCAGACACAATGGAAATACAACAGATGCGTTCACTGGCTCGAGAGGAGAAGATGAGAAGACAGGTTAGTGGAAGTTACTCTTACAAGACGCATGAGTAAGTGAATGGATTGGATCATTTTTTATCCAGATCAAAAAAGCGAGAGTGAAGGGATAAAATTCTTGCTCTTGTTTGATCTCCTACAGCTGTAACTCTGGTATCTCTTCTTAGGCCCTATCCATATTATACCGGGGGAATTTGATTCTCCGGTTAGACCTTCCGTCCACACTAATCTGTCATGAAATCGGAGCTTTTCGAAAACGTTCTTCAAACCGGAAGAATTTGAAAACGCTGGCTTTGCGATTTAGTGTGGACGGAAAACATTTTGAAAATGAAACTTTTCGAAAACGATTACATTAGCATAATCATGGTATTTCCCTGTCTTAGTTTTACTCAAACATAAATGCAAAATGACCAGTGATTGTTTTGTTTTCAAATTCCTCCGGCGTAGTGTGTGGACAGGGCCTTAGAATTTGAATTTGTTCAAATTTTCGTTAGAGCAGGAACAGATGATGCCAACTTTTGTGTAGTCATTAACTTGAGACGAAAGATAGACTCTATTCTACCTCTTGACCATCAAATCTCAATTTCGTTTTTAATATTCAAGAAATTTAAGACCTTTTAGACTTGATTCAAACGATTCCATCGTGAGAAGCACCCCTGTTTCCCAAAGTTGTCTGTAATAGTAGTTATTCATTTTCAGATAGAGAGAGACAAGCTTTTGAAAGAACAGCAAGCACGAGAGGAAATGGCTCAACAAAAGGAGGAATTAGAGAGAAGAATGGCAGAATATCAAGAAGAAGCCAACAGAACTAAAGACGCATTGGTAAACCTCGAACAACTGTACTTTTAGTTGTTAGCGCTTTTTGTTTTGTTTTTCAACCGATTGTCGAAAGTACTAGTAATACCATTTTGTTTTGTGTTTGATACGTGTAGCTCTATACTTGGTTCCAAAAAAAAAAAACCCCGTGCAATGTGCACTACCCAATCCAGTGCATAAGTTATTTGTACCAATCAGCAGGAGCAAACCCAAACCCACGTGACTTGACCTTCACGTGTTTCCAGCGCTTGGCGCAGGATATATGTTGAAAGTTTTTCTTCGCGCTCTAGTGATTGGTAAATGGCGTTACATGCGCGTATTGTGATTACTTTGATTTTTTTTCGTTTTATGACAGTGATTGGAAAACTCTATGTGAAATTAGTGTTTTTTCCCCTTTGCTTTAGATAAAATCAGAAGAAATGGGAGAATTATTAGCGGAAAAAGCTCGAGTGGCGGAAGAAGAGGCAGCATTACTTGGAAAAAAAGCTTCTGATGCTGAAGAAGAAATAAAGCGACTTCGATTGTGCGTCAGTACGGTATTGCAAAGTCATTTGTGTTAGGTTTTTATATCAAACACGAGAGACGGGTTTTGACCACATTCCCAAACAACGAGAAGAGAGTTAAAAATACGGCGTCCAGCAGAGTAGTCTATGGGATATTCTTTGAGAAAAGTCGAGATGTTTGGAAATGTTATAAAAAACATTGTCTTAAGTGTTTGATACATATTCCTAATCGAAATAAAAACTAAGGAATAATTGGAGAAAACAACTTACAACAAAAGAAAAACATGGCCCCTCTTTCAGTCAAGGAATTTGCCATATGATCAGGGAAATTATAAATTTCCTGCTAATGCCAGGTTTTGGTAATGTGCGCTGATATAACGACCATCCAAACTTGAAGTCAGAATGGTTGGGAGAATTTAGTTTACTTGCCTACAGTTCGCTACCTCTGTTGACGTTCATCTTGTAATACTGTTTACGTCACAGTCAGGTGATGAGCGAATTGCCATTGAGAGGAAAGCACGAGAAGTAGCAGAGGAAAGGTTAAGGAGAGTCATGCAAGAGGCTGAAACCAGGTACGTTATCAACATGGAAATTCTCATAACGATGTTACATTGTCATGCACTGATACAGGTGAAGAAAACAATGAAATCCATCAGTTGAGGACAACAGTCTTATTACTTTGTAGTACCACGATAAAGGAAAAGTCTGGTCATTATAAGGGAGAATTTATTTGTCAACGGGATAAAAGTGACACGGTTACTTTGACGTTTTCTTCAGATCCACAAAAGCTTACAACTCTGCAGTCGTAACTAAATTAGTTATGACTGCACTCTTCTTTTAGAAACCTTTCTCATACATTCGGTGTCTTGGCATTAGTATGACTTTTTGTTGCCTTATTTGCAGTTTTGTTCTCCAATATTCTGTTTTCTTGCAGAGCGAGAGAAGCTTTGATGCTCAGAGAGGATCTGATGAAGTCACGACAGGCTGAACGGTTGGCCAAACAAAAGCTGGTAGAAGTGACAACGTCACCAGATGTATTTTCTGTAAGTACAGTGCTGCTAGGCACGCAACGTGTGCGAAACGCGTGATGCGTGAACTGGGCTGCCGTTGTCAACTGCAGGCATTTTTGTAGTCGAGGAAAGAAATAAGTCTGTTATCACTGTTTTAGTCATTCAAACAATGTAAATTTATTGCAATCTTTGAAAATGCTCATTA